ACGACGACAAGAGGAAGGGGGGGTGGGGGCGAGGTTTCAGTTTCAGTTCAGTTTCAGATTCAGCTGGGAGCACAAAATTTTTCGGGGGGGAGGGGCGGGTGTCAGTTTGAGTTCAGTTTCAGTTTCAGTTGACTGACTACTGCTACTACCACAACTACTAGTACTGCCAGTACTACTAGTACTACTACCTTTCAGTTTCAGTTCAGTTTCAGTTCAGTTTCAGTTCAGTTTCAGTTCAGTTTCAGTTTGAATATTGGAGCAAAACTTTTCCGGGGGGGTGGGAGTTTCAGTTTCAGTTCAGTTTCAGTTCAGTTTCCGTTCAGTTTCAGTTCAGTTTCAGCTCAGGTGCCGTTCAGTTTCAGTTCAGTTTCAGTTTGAATATTGGTTCAAAATTTTTCCGGAGGGGGGAGGAGGTTTCAGTTTCAGTTCAGTTTCAGTTTCAGTGGGGTTCGTTATGCTAAACTCAGAGCGTAAGGTCTAGGGTTCAGGGTTTAGGGCTAAGGGTTTGGAGTTTAGGGCTTAGGTTCATGATTTAGGAGAGTTGCCTTAAGGCTTTGGCTTTGTGGTCGGGATTCTAGGTTCCCGGTATCTCCTCATGCTATTTCGGCGGCTTCTGGCCGATCATCTTCTAATACCTAAAGCCTGAACCCTGAACCTTCAATCCCTCAACCCTAAACCCTAAACCCTAAACCCTGAACCCTAGACCCTTCTTGTTGGGAGCTTAGGGCTTCAGTGCCTTTTGTCTCCTTGCCTTCATCTGCATGTGTGCCCGCTGCATGTGGGGCTTCCACTACTGCAGGGCTCAGGGTTGAGGATTCAGGTCTTAAGACCAGAATGACCAATTATGGAACATAGACAACTCTGCTTTGCAGTACGATTCTCAAAATCGGTAGTCTGACTGTCTGTTCAGGCTTGTACATCTCTTGGCATCTTATGATGTTAGATGATTGTATATGAGCTTGTATGACATTATAGCATGTTATAAGAAGCTATATGATACTATCGTATACTGTATGATAGTGTATGATGCTGTTTGACATTGTTGACTTTGTATGGTATGATATTATATTTAAATTTATGAATTATTATGAAATTTCATATGATATGATGCTATGTGATACTATATGATATGATGTTGTGTTTTCTGGTTTCCTCTTATATTGTATTATAACACATGATATCATGCTATGTTATATTACAACATATTGTTAACTTATCTTGTCTGATCATGATATTTTGAAGACGGACCATCGGACTCTTCGTCTTCTGAATCTGACGCATCAGAAACGATTGCTAGAGCATCGTCCTGATCCTCCTCAACCTGAGTAGTAATTGGTTCTGTGGTTTAGGGTTTAGGGTTTAGGGTTTAGGGTTTAGGATTTGGGGTTTAGGGCTTAGGGTTTAGGGTTTAGGGTTTAGGGTTACTCACGCCCGTAGACGGCGTCCGAGCCCGTCGCAGCGTCGGAATGATGGTATACGACCTAGTGAAGCCTAGGGGACCCTAAACCCTAAACCCAAACCTCTAAGCCCTAAACCCCTAAACCCCTAAACCCTAAACCCTGAACCTAAACCCCAATCCCGAAACCCTAGACCCTCAACCCTAAACCCTAAACCCTAAACCCTGAACCCTAAACCCTAAACCCTCAACCCCTAAACCCTAAACCCTGCATACGTCCAACTTCTCAGCGAAGACGCCGTCGCAGTCTGACTTCAAGAGCAACGTCGGAGCCAGCTCCGAGAGTCCCCCAACCCTAGAAGTCACCCATGTAGTGTTTAGGGTTTAGGGTTTAGGGTGTGTTTAGGGTTTAGAGTTTGGAGTTTAGGTTTGGGGTTTAGGGTTTAGGGTTTAGGGTGTGTTTAGGGTTTAGAGTTTGGAGTTTAGGTTTAGGGTTTAGGGTTTAGGGTTTAGTCTAAGGTTGAACCCATGGGCCCTAACATGGGCCCTTAGGGGATTCTAGGGTCCCTTAAGGGTATATATAGGGTATATAGTAGGCATATTAGGGTCCCAGGGTTAAGGTGTCATACTAGGGGCCCATGGGTTCTACCTTAGATTTAGAGTTTGGAGTTTAGGGTTTGGGGTTTAGGGTTCGGGGTTTAGGGTTTAGGGCTTAAAGTCTAGGGTTTACAGTTTAGGGCTTAGGGCTTGGTTTTTAGACTCTAAACCGACAAGAGGTGTATATCCATTCTCAGGTACTTTAGTTGCTTTAAGGTAGGGAACCACGAACCTCAATCTTATGAACGCACGAGGTTTTATGCAACAGCACCTTTTAGGGTTTAGGGTTCAGGTGTTCAGCGTTTAGGGGTTTAGGGGTTTAGGGGTTTAGCCTTTTGGGGTTTAGGGTTTCAAAAGGCTTCGCAAGACTGTGTGGAATCTGTCTGAGCTGTGCGACGTGTAGTTCGAAGCCTCGAAACCCCCCCCCCCTTTTCAACTTTTGGGTTTAGGGTTTAGGGTTTAGGGTTGAGGGTTTAGGGTTTAGGGTAAGGTGAACAGTATAGGTGCGAAGGGTTTACCAAGAGCAACCCATGTACCGAAAGCTACCCTACACAAAAAGAGGTATAAATCCCTTTCAACGTACTTGGTTGCTCTAAACCCTAAACCCTAAACCCCTAGGCAGGGATTACGGCCACTGCACCCGGAACCTGCACCATGCTCATTCCTACACCGCGGATTGCCCCAAAACAGCCCTACGAAACCTTTGAAAAAACGGTTTAGGGTTTAGGGTTTAGGGTCCATGAAAGCCCTAAACCCCAAATCCTAAACCCCTAAACCCTAAACCCCTAAACCCCTAAACCCTAAACCCCTAAACCCCTAAACCCTAAACCCTAATCCCTAATCCCTTGTGCCTGATCATCGCCTGGCTATCGTTCATTAGCTGGGTCGGCACCTGGACGGCTGCAAGTCACGGTGGAGGGTTTAGGTTTCAGGTCGTCAGGCCTAAACCATAAAACCCTAAACCCTGGGGTTTAGGGGTTTACGGTTTAGGGTTTAGGGTTTAGGGTTTAAGGTCTAGGGCTTTCAAGGTTTGTAGGCACCAAGAATTGGGGATCTGGTCAGCGTACATAAACCTTCTTCTGAATTCGTATAGGAACCCACAGAGAACCTTAAACCCTTTCAGGAACCCTTATTGGAACCTTTATTAGAATCTCCTAAAATCTGTGTTCCCCTACACCCTACACCGCAAACTCTTAAACTCTAAACCCTTAACCCTAAACCACCCTAAACCCTAAACCCTCAACCCTAAACCCTAAACCCTAAACCCTAAAACCCTAAACCCTAAACCCTAAACCCTACCCAAAGTCTGTGCCACCCCGAGTTCCGTAAAGGCAAGTCTTCGGCTTCAGGCTGCGGAACGCGACTCTCAGCTGATAAGTTTAGGGTTTAGGGTTTAGGGTTTTGGGTTTAGGGTTTCCTTGCCCGCTAAGGTGCAGGGTTGAGGGCGTAGGGTTTAGGGTTCAGGGTATAGGCCCAGAGACTCCAATATCCCAACATTAAGGAATATACCCTAAACCATATTAAGGATCCTACTATAATTTAAGGAATATTCCTTAATTCCGGAATATTGGAGTACCCTAAATCCTAAACCCTAAACCCTAAACCCTAAACCCTAAACCCTAAACCCTCTGGGGGGTTTCAGGTTTGAAGTTCAGGGTTTAGGGCTTGGGCGTAGTTTTATGGCTTAGGGTTCAGGCTTTGGGTGTAGGGTTTGAAGGTTTAGGGATGTTAACCGTGCAAGCTAGGTTTAGGGTTTAGGGTTTAGGGTTTAGGGTTTAGGGTTTAGGGTTTAGGGTTTAGGGTTTAGGGTTTAGGGTTTAGGGTTTAGGGTTAGGGTTCAGGGTTTAGATTTAGGGTTTAGGGTTTAGGTGTAGGTTTGAAGGTTTAGGTAAAGGAAACTACAGGTGGGGAGTTTAGGGTATATAGGGCTTCTATGAGGCTTCTATAAGGTATACAGACCTTCTATAAGGCTCCTATAATGGTAATTCCCCGCCTGAAAATGTCCTGGATTTAGGGATGTTAACCGTGCAAGTTTGGTCGGTAAGGTTGAATAACCCTGCAAGGGCTGCCTGATCGGCTACTAAGGATTGGAACCTCAGGGCCAAGACCGTCAACACTAAATCCCCGAAACCCCTAAACCCTGAACCCCTAAACCCTCAAGCCTAATCCCTAAACCCCTAAACCCTAAACATTGAAGCCTAAAGCCTAAAGCCTAACCTGTAAACCCTAAACCCCGAAACCCTCAACCCTAAGCCCTAAACCCTCAACCTTAAGCCCTAAACCCTCAACCCTAATCCCTAAACCCCTAAACCCTGTGCTTTTGAAGATTTAGGGGTTCAGGGGTTCAGGGTTTAAAAGTTTATCTTTTAGTCACGGCCCGCGGGTTTCAATCCTTAGCAGCCGACCAGGCCGCCCTTGACGGGTTAAGGTTTAAAGTTTAGGGTTTAGGGTGCCGCTGCCTTGCACCTAAACGCTACTGTAGCCATTGACCCTTAACCCCAACTCGATTCATATAGGGACCCTCAAGGCTAGAATAGGGCTCGGGGGGTCTATTCTGGTATATGTTTTCATATGTCGGACTCAAATCTTGAGACCCCCCATACTACCCCTAACCCTCAGCCCCACAACCCTAAACCCTAAACCCTAAACCCTAAACCCACTACCCCCAACCCTCAGCCCCACACCCCGGTTCGAGTGGATGGGCTTCGGACGGAAGGTTGAAGACAAGTGCTTGAACATCTATCCGACTCCCCAAGAACCCTAAACCCTTACCCTAAACCCTAAACCCTAAACCCTAAACCCTAAACCCTAAACCCTAAACCCTAAACCCTAAACCCTTACCCTTACTTGGGGGATCATGGGACTTAGTAAGTAAGGTTATAGGTCCCGGAATTGGGGTTATACGTATAGTTACCCTAATTCTAACCCTACTTACTAAGTCCCATGATCCTTTAAGTAACCGTAATCATACTTTAGTCCTACTACGAAAACACCTTAACCATATAAGGAGCCCGTTAGGAGCTCCCATAAACCTACGACCGGCAGCTCGGACCGCTCAAACGCTGCTGTTGTTGTCTGCACCTTGTTTAGGGTTTAGGGTTTAGGGTTTAGGGTTGACAGTCGTAAGATCAGTTCTGCCGAGGGTCTCTGCATGACACTGCCTTTCATGCGCGCACTGAAGCTGCACTGGCGACTGTCTCTCTCTTCAAATCTCCTGGACACACCCCAAGCTAGACCCAACAAAGCTTTCAAGCTGGACAACCCTCGGCTCTGGAAGACGTCCACCCTTTTGCTCCACAGTGTCAGCCGTTCTTGCTTGTCTCGGGCCGTGCTGGAACATCCTTTCAAACACTTCGGCAAACGCTGCGGTCGAACCTTCCTGGCAGAGGACCACTGTACATGTGGGACTTTCCCAAAATAGGGGGTACCTTATTTCGGGGTCCTAATTATAAGGATCCTATTATTTATTGTAATTACTATACTAGGGTCCCCTGTTTTCGGAAACCCCCAATGTGTCGAACCGCTTCACATCGACGGACATCTGCCTGCATGGTTGGCCGCGTCTGTCTCCGGCCTCCTTGCGCCGTCACACTGGCCCCCAACCCTGAACCAACAATAGCCCCGAACCCTACATCCTCGTCCACCGGTGCCGGCGAAAGGTAACTGTACGTGAATGCTGCAGACTCGGCAGACCAGCTGCGCAAAAGACTCGCTAGCAAGTGCACAACAGAAGGAAAGCAGTGCCAGGGCAGCAACAATAAGCGACCGCTGCTGTCCGCTCAAAATATGCAAACTCTGCATGCTCTGCAACAGCTGTTTCTGCAAACCCCCAGCAACCGCCTAAACCCTAAACCCTGAACCCTAAACCCTAAAAACCCTAAACCCTAAACCCTGAACCCGGAACCCTAAACCGTAAAGAGGCGCCTTCTCGTCCAGTACCCCAGAAGAACCAAAGATTAACCTGTTACCTCATAGGGGCTTAGGCGTTTAGGGTTTAGGGTTTAGGGCTTGGGGCTTGGGGTTTAGGGTTTGGGGTTCAGGGTTTTAGGGTTTAGGGGTTACAGTAACCCAAAAAGGTTGACAGTGATCGGGAAGTGAACTACTTGCTCTTCTTCCGGGAACTATAAACCCTGAAACCGCACACTTTGAACCCTAAGCTCACTTCCAAGCTTTCTAAAACACCCTAAACCCTAAACCCCTGAACCCTAAACCCTAAACCCTAAGCACTAAACCCCAATACCCCAAGCATATCCTGGGTCCCCCTGCGGTGACCACCGTCTTCTCGCGGGAGTTGGGTACCACCGACTGCACAAGAGTTATCATGTGGGGAGTTCTCTAAATTAGGGCTAAGGGTTTAGGGTTTAGGGTTTAGGGTTTAGGGGTTTAGGGGTTTAGGGGTTTAGGGTTTAGGGATTTCTTTTATAGGGTTTCTATAACGGTACTAAAAGGGTCGTTCTCTAAATTAGGGTCCTTTTCAGTATCCTTTTTGTAAGGGTGCCGTACTGAATTGGGGACCTATAAGCGGACCCTTATTTAGAAAACTGACCACAATATGCATACTGCGGGGTTCTTTAAAGGCTTCCGTAGAGGGTTGCATACAGGGTGCCTTAAAGGGTTCATTGAAGGGTCTCTGAACGGGTCTTGATAAAAGCCGAAGGGTTCCTTTACGGGTTCCCCCAGCTTTTCTACACCGCTTCGAGAGGGTATCCGGGGGTTATGGTCTAGGGTTTGCGGCTCAAGGCCCTATACTAAGCCCTATCAACATCCTACCAAAACCAGAAAACTCAAAAACCTCAACCCTAATCCCTGAACCCTAAACCCTGGACCCTAAAACCCAAATTCACCCCAAAAACCCCTAAACCCTAAACCCTTACAAAATCCCAAACCCTAAACCCTAAACCCTAAACCCTAAACCCTAAACCCTAACCCTAAAAACCCTAAACCCTCAACCCTAAACCCTAAGCCGAAACCGCAAAGCCTAAACCCTAAACCCTAAAAACAAACCGCAACCCTTAACCCTGAACCCTTACAAAATCCAAAAAAGATCCGACGGACTGAGGCATCAAACCAAGGCGCGGATGTCCCAGAGCCCATTTCACGGGGGGTTCAGGGCTTGGGGTTTAGGGTTTAGGGTTTAGGGTTTAGGGTTTAGGGCTTAGGGTTTGGGGTTTACGTAGGGCTTAGGATTTACTGGGAGGGATCATGGGGCTTAGTAAGTATATATCTGGTAGCTAGACTCATTAAATCACTTATAAACCTGGTTAGGGTATACCCCCAAAACCCATTAACGCCTAGACCCCCAAACCCCAAAACCCCAAAACCCCTAAACCCCTAATAAGTTACTTATAAACCCTGGCGTTTAGGTTCAGGGGACCCTAAACCCTAAACCCTAAACATGTGCCCAGACATACATGGGGCCTTAATGACTAGAATGGGGTTTTGGGGTTCCTTGAAAGAGCTCCTTAAAGGGTTCTATAAGGGCTACTATAAGGGCTTAGGGTGTAGGGGCCTTAATAACTCGAATAGGGTTAGGGGGTATATGCTACTATAACTATAATAGGTAACCCCAACATAATGTCGGTAATTATGTAGGCCCCTGTATTAGACATACGCGTGCCCATACATACATACATACAGGATTGCTGTTCCATCCGAGGCGCAAGATGAGAACGGCTACTCTCTCCTCACTACAGTCCCTGAAGCCTAGGCCCTGGACGCCCTAAAGCACAACCCAGGCTCGCAAATCCAGGTTTAGGGTTTAGAGTTTAGGGTTTAGGGTTTAGAGTTTAGGGTTTAGGGTTTAGGGTTTCGGGTTTAGGGTTTAGGGTTTCGGGTTTAGGGCTTAGGGCGACATTCTGCCACCCCGTGACGCTGGACTTCCAGGCAGTTGCAATGGAGGATGTACCAGAATGCATATCAGTGGAAGAGATGGCCCAGCTACGGCTAGGCTCTAGACCTTAAACATCCTACTTAAGCTCCAAAAACCCTAAACCCTGAAGCCCATATAAACTCTACATGAACCCTATTTCAATCCTATATAGACCGTAAAAGCCCATTCTTAAACCACTAGACCCTAAAGCCTTCATCTAAAGTCTAAGCCGCAAGCACCTAAGGCCTTTAACCCAAACTTATGTTCGGATCAAATGCGTCTGAGTACCCGGCCCAGAACCTCGACCTCTAAACGGACGCCAACTATGAAAATAACCCGACTGGCGTTTTGGATGACATGAAAACGCAAAGATGCAAGACTTCTTGTTATGATAAACCACGAGGGTACAGAGTATAACGCAATTCAAAGGAGTACTCTTACTGATGTTTCCCCCTGCTACCACGCTGGAAAGTTTGCTGCGCAGGGTTTAGGGCTTAGGGTTTAGGGTTTAGGGTTTAGGGTTTAGGGTTTAGGGTTTAGGGTTTAGGGTTTGGGGTTTGGGGTTTAGGGTTTAAGGGTTTAGGGTTTAGTGTAAAGGGTTTAGGGTGTAAGGATTCCTAAACCCTAAACCCTAAACCCGTTTAGGAAGTTTAGGGTTTAGGATTTAGGGTTTAGGCCCAACAGCAAGAACGCCTCAGTCATCATGTGCGTCTGCAGCGCGCTGCCCGTTCCCTTCGCCGTGTAGGAGTAGGCGAAAAAGTCCTCCGGATTTAGGGTTTAGGGTTTAGGCAACCCGAAATCATAAACCCTACACCCTGAACCGCCAAACCCCCAAACTCTCTAAACCCTAACCCTCAACCCCGAACAAGCTAAACCCTAAATCTGGGACTCTAAACCCCAAACCCCAAACTCCCTAAACTCTAAACCTGGGACTCTAAACGCCAAGCCCCAAACTCCCTAAACTCTAAACTTTGGGCTCTAAACCCCAAGCCCCAAACTCCCTAAACTCTGAACGTTGGGCTCTACACCCCGGCCACAAAACCCTCAACCCTAAACCCTAAACCCTAAACCCTAAACCCTAAACCGTCAAATCCGTGGAGATTACGACTTTAAGCTTCCTGCAGGAAGCTCGGACCCCAAGTGCTACACAGCAGGGTTTCCGAACTCCGGAACGGTTTAGGGTTTAGGGTTTAGGGTTTAGGGTTTAGGGTTTAGGGTTTAGGGTTTAGGGTTTAGGGTTTAGGGTTTAGGGTTTGGGTTTAGGGTTTGGGGCCAAACCCTAAACCCTGAACCCTAAATCCTTCGAAACTTGGGATACTTCAGTTTACAAATCCCAAAACCTATATGAACAACTCCAAAACGCACCAAACAAACAACAACAAAAAGCTCAAGTTAGACAATCACAAAGGCGCCAAAAAAAGCAACCGAGAACCCTAAACCCTAAACCCTAAACCCCAAACCCTAAACCGTTTTAGGCTAGGTCTGAAACCCCGACCCCAAAGCTTGCAGCCCTAACCGACTCGTTCCTCCCGGAAGAGCACGAGGCGGTTCGATGGCAGATCCAGGGAAACGGGCTTGTGAATCTGGTGGTCGAAGGGCTCCAAGCTAATCTCCTGAAGGGCTTTTAAGGGTTTAAGGGGTTAAGGGTTTAGGATTTTTAAGGCTAATCTCCTGCATGGCCAGGGTGTAGGGCTTTCAAGTATTTAAGGGTTTAGGGTTTAGGGTTTAGGATTTTTTTAGGGTTTGAGGCTTTTAGGGGTTTAGCTAATCTCCTGAATGGCCAGGGTGTAGGGCTTTTAAGGGTTGAAGGGTTTAGGGTTTAGGGTTTAGGATTTCTTTAGGGTTTGAGGCTTTTAGGGGTTTAGGGGTTAAGGGGTTTAGGGTTTAGGGTTTGGGGTTTAGGGTTTAGGAGTTTAGGGTTTAGGGTTTAGGGGATTAGGGGTTTAGCCAGGGAAGGTCAATCCGGGAACCGAAAGCTGCCACCAAAGACCCAAGACGTGAAAGAAAGGGACTGGATTGAACGCGGCACTGCGGCTCACAGCAGAGGTGCTGCGCATCCGTGTAGCCGCCCTAAAACTTAAACGCTAAACCCTAAACCCTAAACCAGCCGGAAAGGAGGCACCGCCTCCTGCCTCCAACTTCGTGGAGCCTGTCACTAGAACACCACGTCGTGCATGGGAGAGAGCTCGATCCAAGAAGTCGTCTGGGAGGCTGGCCCAAGCATATTTTGTGGCCCCCTTTGTTCAATAAACCCTAAACCCTAAACCCTAAACCCTAAAATTCAACATCCTTCCGACTGTCCAGCAGCTCGCCATCAGCGATTATCTTGGCCAGGGCTTTAGGGTTAAGGGTTTCGGGTTTAGGGTTTAGGGTTTAGGGTTTAGGGTTTAGGGTTTAGGGTTTAGCAGCTCCGGATCGAGCAGTCTCTAGTCCAGCGTGTTTTCCAAAAATAGAAGAACTCCCACCCACCCAAAAAACAACATAGCATTAGAAGATAGAAACTTTCATTCTTATTTCTTAGTTGGCATGAACCTTTCCGTAGAAACCAATCCTATAAAATATGCTATTAAGCGAAACTTCAACAACACAACACAACTACTCCGCAAAACAAATGCCTTCGATTCTCGCGACATAAATCCTAGAATGATAGTGGGAATAAAGCGCGATAGCTTTACGAACAGCAGCCGACGAAATAGAGAGCAACGGCGCCCTGCCCTGCCCTGCCCTCAGGACGCCAGGCAAGCGAACCCCTGAAGCTTCTGTTAAAGCAAACCCTTTCTTTCGATGAGGACTATCTTACTAAAGCTACGAAACCCCCTCGGGCCCCAAGACCTTTCCCAAAACCGTGAAAACAAGTGCCCTAATAACTTGAGTAGGTTTTTGGGGCATGCTCTAGTACAAGTCTTACTCCTGAGTTTAGGGTTTAGGGTATAGGGTGTAGGGCTTCGGGCTTCAGGGCTTTACGGTTTTAGGGCTTTAGGGCTGTAGGGCTTTAGGGCTTTAGGGTTTAAGGTGATTCAACCTCTGCGTGAAAACAACAATGATTCGGCTTCGGGAAAACGCCCGCATTAAGCACTGCATCTAGAGAACTCCCCCAACTGGTCTTTAGGGTTATAGTAGAAGCCCAAAAGTTGGAAACCCAATAGCCTCAATCCTTAAGAGCAATGTATAGGGAATCCCAGCACTATTTGTCCTTAATCCGGTTTCCAACTTTTTGGGGATTACTGTAGGGTTTAGGGTTTAGGGCTTAAAAGGGCAACTTAGGCTCTTAGGCCCCTGAACCGTCAGCCGTACTATAATTGATGTAACAGCCATGGTTCTTATGCTACGACTCGTGTAGTTATTGTTACTACTATCCCTAAACCCTAAACCCTAAACCCTAAGCCCTTAACCCTAAACCCTAAACCCTGAACCCTAAACTCAGATGAACTCGTCTCACCAAGCGGCAGAGCCCTCGGCATCCAGCAAAAGGAACGCGCACAGCTTCCTGCGGGCGACAGCGCGGCAACAGCTGGATTTGGACCTAGGGTTTAGGTTTATGGTTTAGGGTTTAGGGTTTAAGGGGTTACTATCGAAGCCTAAATAATTAACAATATTATTCCCTAGGGCACCTTACAAAAATTATACTATGCGAGAGCCCCAAACCCTATTCTAACCATTAAGGCCCCTACACTACTAGGTTGGTGAAGGCCCCTAAACCGTAAACCCTAAACCCAAAGCCCTAAGCCCTAAACCCGAAACCCTAAACCTAAACCGTAAACCCTAAACCCAAAGCCCTAAACCCTAAACCCTAAGCCCTAAACCCTAACTTGGGGGTGTGGCCTTAACCCTAAACCCTAAGCCCTAAACCTGAAACCCTAGGCCCTAAACCCTAACTTGAGGGTGTAGCCTTGAGGAGATTCAGGTTAAGGGTCTAGGGCTTACGGTTCAGAGCGGTTCCGTGGATCCGAACCAAAGTGTCTCCACGCCTCTCCCACTTGTTTAGGGTTTAGGGTTTAGGGTCTAGGGTTTAGGGTTTAGGGTTTTAGGGTTTAGGGTTCTGGTTCCACTCGAACCTCAAGTCCTCCCCCAGGACCTGTCCGGGAGTCCGTCCACAAGTGACGCCCCGAGTAGCCTCGGAACAAAGTAGACATCGTCACCGGGTCCCTAAACCCTAAACCCTAAACCCTAAACCCTAATTGATCTTGATCACGGAGATCCCCTTGGCGGTGTGCACAAGCTCATCTCGCATAGAACAAGGCCTCACTTGGTTGGTCTTGGCACGGATGGTGGCACCCGTTGCCAGCCAGAAGGTACTTAGAGGATCATGGGACTTAGTAGGTAGGGTTATGACTAAGGTAAATATACTTATAACCCCAATTAGGAGACTTATAACCATACTTACTAAGTCCCATGATCCCTTAGGTAGAGCTTTCTTGCAGCAACACACGGAGTGGCTCCGTCCAGCCTCCTTTTCCTTGGCGGATTGGCTGCCTCCAGAGCATCATCAGGCCACCGGCCTGGTACTGCAGGGTTTAGGGTTTAGGGTTTAGGGTTTAGGGTTTAGGGTTTAGGGCACGGCGTTGTTCAACCTTGACAGCTCTCCGCGGCCGCTGGGGGAATCACCGTGGCACTCTGAGCAGACAGCCCTTCCTGCCTTGTCTGTGCCAATGAGAGGGTACCACCAACCAGAGAGTCGTCACCCTCGTGCCCATAAATCTGGTTTAGGGTTTAGGGTTTAGGGTTCAGGGCACATGCTTTTTTCCTAGTATCTGCAGACAGCGACCTGGCCCGCTTGGGCTTAGAGTCCTTTCTTCTGGCCACAGATACGTACTCTCCAGGGGTCGCACCATTCCACGGTCTTCTGCCGAAGTGTTTCTCCCAGAAAGGCAAAGCATCTCCGTTGCAGGGCAGCTTGCGTTTCGAAGAGGACTCCCTCGCCACAGAATGCATCTTTAGGGCGCGAAACCCTAAACCCTAGACAATTGGGCTTAAGATTCTTTTGGGGTTTTGCTAGCCATGTATAAGGGCTCCATAATCTACTAGGGCTCGACGAATCAGCAAGTCGCAATGCCAAATACCCCTAAACCCTAAGCCCCAATATAGGAGCCTTAATGATTAGAATAGGGTCTGAAGGAACTCCCAAGACCCTATTCTAATTATTAAGGCCCCTACATTAAGTCCCAAACCCTTAACCTTGAACCGCGCCACCCCTGTCCGCAGCCTTCATGTCAAACCCTAAACTCACTGACTGAGCACTAAGCCCCACAACTCTTGAACCCTTCAGCCCTAAACCATCTAAACCTCAAGCCGCCTAAACCCCTAAGCCCCCTAAACCTAGAGCCCTAAACCCTAAACCCAAAGCCCCACTAAACCTAGAGCCCTAAACCCTAAACCCCTAACCCCTAAGACCTAAAGCCCTAACCCCTAAACTCTAAACCATAAGCCCTCCACTCTAAACCCTATATAAGCCATATACCCTTGACCTGTAGTCATGCCTCAAACCACCATGCAGGGACCCTCTATATGGATGCTTTCCGTCTCACCGAACAACCCAAACTTCAAACCCTCAGCCCTAAACTTTAAACCCTAAGCCGTAAAACCCTAAACTTTAAACCGTAAGCCATGAACCCTGTCCGATAGTCGTCGGTGCTAGAACAGACTTTGCCGTACTTCGTGGCATGACTGCAACAGGAGGGGTTCAGGGTTTCGGGTTTAGGATTTAAAATTTAGGGTTTAGGGATTTAGGGTGGCGGAATTGTCTCGGACACCTCAGCTTCGTAGCTGCCACCTCACTGCTGGCAGCTACGAAGCTGCAACAGAGTGACCGAACTTGTATCTCCATCTTGAACCCTAAACCCTAAACACTAAACTTGCTTAGTAGAATTCATAAAGAGCCTTAAACATTAAAGTTTTGGTTTGTATCAACATATAACTAGATCAAGGAATCCTAAGGAAACCCTAAACCCTAAACCCTAAACCCTAAACTCTAAACCCTAAACCCTAAACCCTAAACCCTAAACCCTAAACCGATACGGGATAACTACCATGTAAGCCGAGCCATCCCAAACCCTGCACCCTTAAGCGAAACCCGAAACCCTACCCTAGACATGTCCCAGGGAGGGTTTAGGGTTTAGGGTTTTGCGTTCAGGGTTTAGGGTTTAGCGTTTAGCGTTTAGGGTTTAGGGTTTTGCGTTCAGGGTTTAGGGTTGAGGGTTTTGCGTTCAGGGTTTAGGGTTTAGCGTTTAGCGTTTAGGGTTTAGGGTTTTGCGTTTAGGGTTTAGGGATTTGCGTTTAGGGTTTAGGGATTTGCGTTTAGGGTTTAGGGTTCAGGGGTCCTGTTTTCCAAGAAGTCGATGTGCCCCAGCACTTTCCCGTCCTCTCGGAGCCACACCGCAAAACCAGGGATGATTGCTCTGAGGCTTTGGAACGGGTTTCTACAAGCCCCTTGGCGGTTCTGGTTTTAGGTTTAGGGTTTCGGCCTTCAGAAACCCTAAACCCTAAACTGTATCAGGTCTAGTGCTGAGACATAAGACAATCTCTGATTATACCCATGTCCACCTTGGACACCCTAAACCCTGGTTTAGGGTTTAGGGGTTTAAGGCTTAAACCCTAAACCCTAAACCAAAAACCCTAAACCCTAAACCCTGTACTACAGCCAACCAAACGAACTGCGGAGTCTGAACCGACGAGGGCCGGAGCGTACGGCTCGGGGCTGCGGGGTTTAGGTTTGAGGGGGCAACCTCCTGAGTTTGGATCCTAAAACCCCTGACCCAGAAGCCCTCAACACCCCAACACCTAAACAACAAACCCCGAATGCCCCAAAACATAAAAAGCCCTTGACCCATACGGAAGTTAGTCCTTGCCCTTGCAAAAGTAGAAGTGCAGCTGCTTCTCAGGGAATGTAGCAACCAACTTTTTTGGGGTTTAGGGTTTAGGGTTTGGGGTTAACCCTAAAGCCTAGACCCTCTGCAAGTATCCCTTAAGTGACCACAAACCAACAGACTTGAACCGAAGGGGCTTAATCACATGATCAAGGGCTCTAGCGCTTTCTGTGAGAGCCTCTAGGGCTTCATCAGTAGGGTTTAGGGCTCAGGGTGTAGGGCTCAGGGTTTAGGGTGTAGGGTTCAGGGTTTAGGCTTTAGGGTGCACGGTTTAGGGTTCAGGGTTCTCAGATTTTCTAAACGGCTTAAGGACAAGGGTGCCATGTGGGAACCTGACTAAGCAACCCAGGATGTTATGGAAGCGCTGTCGCGGAAATTAGGGTTTACACTTGGGGGCTTTAGGCTTCTAGAGCTCGTGTCCTTCTCAAACCAAGCGTTGAAGTGGGACATAAGACGTAAAGGTTCACGGCCAGCCAACCCCTGTCATTGAGTCACATGCCGACCTTAATGATTGAAAGCTGGTCTTGCTTGTTGTAGATTCAGCAGGACTACTGAGCCTTGCGACCTCTATGCCTACACCCTAAACCCTAAATCCTAAATCCTAAATCCTAAACCCTAAACCCTAAATCCTAAACCCTAAACCCTAAATCCTAAACCCTAAACCCCAAACCCTGTAAACCCCTGTAAGACCCACGAAACCTCAACCCCGGAGTCTCATTACCCTAACCCAAACTAAGAGAAGGCGAATGTCCTCGTAGTTGCGCTGCGAGAGCGGGAAGGGCCGAAGCTTGTTCTCCTCTGAGTTCTGGGTTTGGGGTAGAGAGTTGAGGGCATTGGGTTTAAGGTATCTGTGGGGTCAGCCAGAAGCATTCTTCAAGGATTCTAAACAGGTTTTTTGGGGATTGTGCAAGGACTTCTTCAGGGTTCAGGGTTTAGGGTTTGGGGTTTAGGGTCTGTTTGGAATACATGGCATTTTAGGGGTTCTGAACTGGTTCTCCTTAATAGCATTTCGGTGAAACCACTCGTCGAGAAGGCCTTACCCAGCTCTGTTCTGCCTTTCCAGCGGTGTAGCAAGAGCTCCCGGGGAGAATACTTAAACCCTAAACCTTAAACCCTAAACTCTAAACCCTAAACCCTAAACCCTAAACCCTAAACCGCAAACCCTAAACCCCTGATACTTAAGCCCTAAACCCTAGCTATTGGTCGTTGGTGCACCCGTTTGGGATTCTCGAGGCCTCGCGCGCAGTAAGCTTAGACCCCTACAGAAAAAACGAAAACCCGAACCTAATAATTACCTATACTACTTTGGGGTTTCCTTATTGTAAATATAGTCTAATCAGCCCCCAAACCCTATTCTAAATATTAAGGACCCTACATCAGAGCCCAAAAACCCCGAAACCAAAAAGGCAAAGCCTTGAAATCCAAAGCTGAAGCTGCAATCTCTCAAACCGTAAAAGCCACCTAAACCCTAAACCCTAAACCCTAAACCCTAAACCCTAAACCCGTCCAGGACCGGTTGGGACTCTGTCGTAGCCAAAAACCTACCAAAGAACAATATGAAGCCCCAAAGCAAACCCTAGACCCAAAGCCCTAAACCCTAAACTCTAAACCCCGAGCCCTAAAC